GAGACTTAACAGGACCAAAAAAAAAATAGTAGTTGAATATGTGGTACTCCTAGCAAAAAGACTTTCTTTCTTTAATCCACCACCTGACTGATGTGTGACAGTGTGTCACTTGCTGAGACCTTCCATAGAAATGCCAGGCAACTCTGCAATCTTGCCAAAACTCAATTTAAGTAAATTCAGTTAAGTGAATCCAACACAGGAAAGAAAACGTAGTTTGACCCTCTCAAGGTAGATGGGCAGGGAGAAGGAATGCTAGAGAGCATTGAAAAAATTGTTTAAATTGAGAGTAATTGCAGGCCAAATATTGCAGTTATTTAAATTATGGCTACAGGAGAATGAGGAGACATCTTTATAACATTATGAAGCATTTAGTTTTATCTAATCCCTTAAACTTCTTGATTAGTTAGGCTATTGTTCTACTGTAGTCTGGCAGTTCTCTTAATTAGGGCATAGCAGAATCAATTCCATTTATGTTCAAATGTAAATTCTGTCACTTTGCAGCTTAAGAATTTCGGCATCTCATTTGAGCTATTTTCAGTTCGTATGTTTGTTAGCATTGGTCTTGGCATCATTTCAAACTTAGCAAGACAGTAATACCTTACTGGATATTTTATTTTCTTGAAAGATGCATGTTTAAAAGATATTCAGCAATGTGGTTTAGCAATTCTTAGATATTAGTAATGCAGTCTATTTTCTTTGAATGGGGCTGTTTCAGTTATTTTGTGTTATGCCAATAATAACGGAAGTTTGAGTGGTAGAGAGCAAGAAGTAGAAGAAAATCATCCAAACAAAACAGAATTATAGCTCAGCTTGCACCAGAGTTGAAAACCAAGTAATACCATGGCTTACAGTCACAGTAATATGGTGGTGTACAGTCCCAGCATGTTGTTGAGTTTTAATCTGAAAGACCTGCTGAAGGTCTTTCAGATTAAAATTAGCTAGACTGCATGGTTGTGTCAGAGGGAAAAAAGAAGTAAGCAGAGGGACATTCGTATTTCAAAAAGTTTTGAACTTTAGATCAGTTTGGAATTACACACAATTAAATGGAGGGATGGAAGGGATCTGCAGCAAAATAATTGATAAGACATTTCCCAGCTGGTTTGTGAGAACAGGAGCAAAGTGCAAGCAACTACAAAGATGTAGCAGAAGTCTCGGGATGGAAGAATTGCTGGAGGTCTGGAAAGCCTTCCTCCTGCTCTCTGGTGGGGAGCTTAAGGGAAAGCACAAGACCAGAGCCCGTAATATAACAATATTTCCCCTCTCGCATTTACCAAGAATAGTAGGATACAAGCAGACTATCTTTAGGTATGTCAGCAACTTATGTAGAGAAACTTCTTTATAAAGACAAACCAAATCTATAAGCCTGGAGATTAAATTATAAAAGCAGTCAGTGAATCTATATAACAAAAGTATGTAACTTTTACAGCTAGTTTTGGCTCAAAGCAGCGAGGCTGTATCTACACTGTGAGGACTACACCATTAGCCTTCAAATGTACTGACTCACAATGTTAATAAACCTCAAAAAACTGAATTCTTAAAGTGAATGGAGTGAAATTATAACTTTGGAAGAGGTACTTAGCATTTTTTTTTTTTGCCAGAGACATTTTTGTTTTTAATCATTTTCTTTAAGTCTGCTACACCCAAATGCTATTAATAAACAATCTTGTAAGTGCATTTCCAGCAACAGGCTGCTTGATGATCATCTGGAAAATTTGCTACAACTCTTAGCTGTTGCTATTACTTTGGGACGGGAAACAAAAATATATGTATAACCGTTTCTTTAAAGGATTGCAGCCTGCCACAATGCAGACTTAGCAAAGTATAGCAAAAGTACATTCTCAAACCATAAATCTGCATATTTTAACATTTTAAAAAAAGAATACCATATAATACCTTTTTTCTGCAAATTAAGATATATGTATACATATATATTAGAATACACATATGTTAGAATTAAAAGAATGTAATCAAGTACTATTAATACTTCTCCATTACAAGTGTGCTAATAATTTGGGAGTTTTTGTAACCTTAATTCCATTGTGTCAGCAGTTGGCCTGGCCTACTACATGACCTAAATTACTGTTGCTAAATTTTAAAAAGGACTCTAATTTAGAACAGTACTTAGGATAATGCAGGAAGGCTGTGACGGCAAAAGTTATTCCTGTATAACTGTATCTTTATATACTAACCATATGTCCTTAATTTTTATATAAATTTCCTAATAATTCATCTGTGTCCATCCTCATCATTGATCTCTATTCATTTTTATATGTACAAATATCTCAAGAATTATATTTTCATAGTGGTCAGCCTTAAGATATGTGCAAATCTGCCAGAGCCATAAGGAAAACAATTTTTTTGAAATAAATATCCCCGTTCACTACCCTTCCATCCTAATAACGAACATAAGGCTTGGTCCTTGCTTAGTCATTCGGCAGTCACAAATTCCGGCCTTCCTCGCGCGCTGTGCAGTGGGTTGAGAGCGGTTAATTTTAGCACGGCAGGCAGAAGCCATGCGAGGGAAGCAGATTTCCGCCGCGCACACGCGCGGCCGTAGCCGTGCTCGGCGTGCCCGTGCGCTGCTGCGTGGTGGCCCTTGATGCTTCCAGCCTCTGCCCCTTGCTGAACTGCGCCCTGGCAGCTGCAGTTTCACCGCAGGAGGGGCAAAGCAAGGTGGCCTTTAAGGCAGAATTTGTTTTTTGTTTTACATGCAAGGTGTTTATTTCATCTACCACGCGCTACGCTTCAGGCTGTCTCAGCCTTTTGTTTGTCAGAGATGTCCTCCAGAAGGTGAAAGCGTTGACACTAGCGGCAGAGCTAAAATTATTTAAGTGATCTTAACAGTACGCTTCGACATTCAGAAATGTTCTGAGAGCTTTTTTCCATCAGAATAGTAAATAAATAAGTAAATGACTTCTCAGGTGCTTAATATAGCAAGATTTGGTTAGAGGGGGAGATTTCCCAAATCTGCAGTGGAATAAAGGAATGTTTAGCTGACTTTTTTGTTCTTAGTAATTAGTTTTAGAAGCAATTGTAACAAAGCAAAAAAAGTGTGCTAAATGTTATATGTTGCCTATATATGTGCAAAAAAAGAATAAAGTTGTAATTTGAAAATTATGCTGCCTATCAACTAAAACTCATGAAACATTATAGTTGTAGACGCTCTCTGAAAATAGTCAACCCAACTTTTGACTTGTCAATGTTAGCATTAATTTGTTCAGTCCTGCATGTAAAACCTATGTGAAGTTTTTAGTCTTTAGTCCAAAAATAGATGAAATTCAAACTGGAGGTTAGTAAGGATCTGAAAGGCAGAAATAAAGTTATAATTTTGGGGAAAAAATGCCATAGAAGTGATGCTGTTTCTGCATCTGTGGGTCTCCTGTCTTGCAGAAGCAGTAGTTTTTAGCAGAAAAATGATGAGATAGAAAATTACTATCTGATTCACTGTTGTAAATCTGATGTTGAAGATGCAGGACAGGAAAGCTGGTATTGCTCTTAAATCAAAAGAGATGATATGTAATATATTAGAAACCGGAATAAAGGTTTGGGATAGAGATGTGCAGAGCTTTGCAAGTGAAGACACCAATCATACTGCATGTACCTGCTCACAGACACACGGTGTGTTTTTACTGTTACTCGCCCTGTCTGAAGCTTTGTTTATGAAGGATGTGAACTGGGAGCTGCAGGCAGGCTTGCAGCAGAGCCAACGTGTCCTTTCACATTCTGCGTTCTGCCTAAAGCAATTTTTTAGTCTTCTCTTTTTCCTGTATCAGCTGGGTGAAAGTTATTTTTGTCTTAATATATAATTCATGTGTATATGCAAATATATTGAATAATTATTTTTAAAGTTACTGGTTTGCCCCTGGGTATCTCTATCCATGTACTTTTCTTTAGAGCAGTCAGAAGAATATCTCCAAAAAGATATTGATATGTCTTTTATGTCTTTTATGTGTGTCTATATAAAAGTGGCTCCTTGTCCCAGCAGGTGGCTTCAGGGAAGAGCCCAACAGTGCCAGGGCTCAGAGCTGGCCTTGTTGAATCCCTGGGTGCTGCCTTCTCCAGCTGCTCTGTAGCACCAAGAGAAGGGTACCTGCAGTGGCAGCATGGGATAACATGGAATAAAAACAATTATCAACCAAGCAAGCAACAGAAAACATAAACCTGTGTGTAAATCCTGTGTGCTTTTATAGTGAGACTGCTTCCAGTCTCAGAGCAGTGTTAGAGCTATTCGCACGTGCAGAGCGAGGCTTGCTGAGAACCTCCTAGCTCATAATTTCTTGATGCTTTTGTCTGTTGATTTTAAGAATTATTTTATGCTTATCAGTAATGAAGCGTTACATTCCTAATTTTGAGTCTAGGAACTGTGAACTGTTTCAGATACAAACCAATGGAAAAGCCCAAATAATTAATCGAATCTTTCATGGTTCCAGTATGCTTTAAGTTAATAACCTTAATTTTGACAGAACTGCTGTAGGGTGTATTGTCAGGTATGTTTCCTTCTAAGGACTTCCCCTAGCAACACCTCACTACTATTGACCCTCAACATTTTTGAGAAAGACTATGAATACTTTCTGATGAAGTTGCTCTTCATGTGAGTTGATGTATCAGCTTGTCTATTTAACTTATTGTGAAGGTGAAACATTGTGCCAAAAGACACTATTTCAAGAGAGAAAAATTGCCCATGTTAAGGGCTACTCTCTGGTTTTATTGGGGTTTTTTGGAAGATTATCTAATGTGTCGGACCATACACTGATCCAGCTTCAGAGTGACAGATCTAAATAAAATGGAACTTCTGTAGCTTTTAATGAAATGTTTTGTATTAATTTGCTGAAAGAATTTTACCAAAGTGGTGATTTCCTGTCTAGTAACTTTTTGTTTCTTTTTTCTTTTTTTTGTTTTCTTTTCTTTTTTTTTCTTTTTTTTTTTTTTGTCCTTCTGGCATGTTCCTGACCCTCCTGCTTGCTTGTGGGAATGAATATTTTGGTCCTTGGGAATTGTAGAGCCCATTGTGAAGAATGGCAGGCCTCCAACGTCTCACAGCATGCACTCATTCCTCCACCAGTACACGGGATCTTTCAAGAAGCCCCCTTTGCGGAGACCGCATAGCGTCATAGGGGGAAGCCTCGGCTCTTTCATGGCAATGCCTAGAAATGGGAGCAGATTAGGTAATTTGCTACATTATTTTTAATTTCGTTTTCTTTTCTGTAAAGAATAATGCCTGTGTTGATCCTTTAGCAAGATGTATGGTTATTCTGATGCTTTTAAGAGATTTCTGGCAATGCAATAATTTTTACTATAAGGTTGTTACAGAAAACTCTAAGGTGCTGAATGCCTCTTTAAGGTTCTTAAGTGGCCAGTTAAAAAGAGCATATGGAAATCATCCATAAATCTATTTGACATGCATAAATGAAATATTATTCTTTTGCAATGGCACGTAAGGAACCTGAATGTCCATCTCAGTTAAGCATCATTGGGAACTAGAATTGTGTTAAATTATCTTTTTTTTTTAATCTTATACATGGAATTTTAAAAATGGTGTATTACTCTAGCCTTTTTTTTAGCAGTATGAAAAAAATGACCTTCTTTCAGTGATAAATTAAGGCCACTCAACTGTAATTATCTTTTTGTTGTGGTCTGGAGCTATATTTGTGGTTCTGAATTACAGTTAAAACTTTTTTTTTTTCTCCTGCAAGTAATTTCTCATGTTTCTGCCTCCAGTCACCAATAATGTTTTACCCTGTTTTTGTGTTATGTTAAATTATGCTTAATTAATTGATCATAGAAAATGAGAGCAAGTCACAGTTTAATTAGAATGCTGTGAGTTTTGCAGTCTTACACCCTCCTTTAGAAGTGGGTGATATTTCGACCGAGCTCCTTCGGTTTTTAGGTGCTGATCTCTCAAACTTTGCTAATCGCTTATGGATATCCGCTATAGATGTCCTCAACTACAATATCGCACATCAATTTCAAAACTGTTCCAGACCTTTTTACTGTTTGTGCTGCTATTCAGTCTTTAAAAGAGCATTCCCTGCTCATGACTGGAGTTTAGCAGCCGTTGCTAAACTCCAGTCAGAGTTTGACAGAGTACATTTTGGGTACAGTCTCAATTCCTGATTTCACCGGGTTCTCCACACTTCACTTGACCTTTTTTTGCCTGGCCAAGCTTTGCGTAAGTAGCGATCGCCAAGAATCTAATGAAGAGACAAAGTTTAAAAAAAAAAAAAAGTTGTGTACTTTATGTTTCTGGTCACGAGTACTGAGTCTTTTATGGATTTTCTGTCAAATCAGGCATATAAAAGTTGTATACAAGAGAGTTGTTTGCTTCTGTGTGCTCCTTTTTTGTGTTGCCTAAAAAGTATCGTACTATAAATGTTTTAATGCAAATTTATCAATAAGTTATTCCTTTTAAAACTTTCAGTGTGATTTTCAAATCAGCTTTGCAGAAGAAGAAGTTGTTTTAATGACTCTCCTTTTTTTTTTTTCCTTTTTTTAATATTTTATGTTAACAGTATTTTTCAACTGAAAGTTCTGATGTGAAAGTATTATAGAAGCATGGTATTTATTTCATTTAGGTGGACAAGTTAAGTGTTTCTAAATAAAACCCATAATTGGAATATTTGATATTATTTTTAAAAGCCCTATATTCCTGAAGAATTTGAAGTTTCATTGGAGTAGAAAGAAATAGATTTAAAACATTTATACGTCTTCTTGCTTTGGGTACACAGTTGCCGCTAGAACATCTATTTGCAATAATGTGTTACGTTCTTTATCCGGTTTCTTTTTTTTCCTTCTAACCTTTGTCATAGGATGAAAATTTAAATCAGTTTTGTGTGTTAGCTGGGTGGTATGCATGTGAACAAACATAAATCACTAGTGCTCTTTCTGTTCCTTTTTCACATCTTTCCTCCCTTTGTTTCTGCCATATGGGAATGCTCGTTACTCAGCAGGATGCTGAGGTTTTTTACATGGGAATAGTGATGTCAGAAATGGTCAAATATTCCATACTACATACAACTTTTTTTCTCCATTCATCCTTTTTCTTTTCACTTTTTCCTGTATTCTGGTGGTGGGAACATGCAATCAGAGAGAAATCCTTGAGGTAGCACAAAATGATGGCAGTAAGAGAAAGGTTATTTGCTTTAAAAATAAAATAAAAATGAAACAAGACTTGCCGCAGGTGCAGGTTTATGCTGCTTGCTTTTGAATGAGATCTTCAGTGCAGAAATTGCTTGAGGAGCATAAGGGATTCAGAATTATTTTTTGAGCATTGAACTTGAGTTTCTACTGTTGTGTTAATCCCAAGATATTTTTAAGATTTTTCTGCTTGGAAACATTTCTGTTGACTCTAGGTTTTGATAAATCTCTCTTAAAGGCAAAAAAAAAAAAAGGGAAAAAGAATTTCTGGCCAAGGAGTTTACTTAAAATTTTGCAGTCATTTTTATTTTAATACTCCCTAATTATTGTAATACTGCATAATGTCCATGTCTCAAGTAAAGTTGCAAATCAGCCATGTTGCTGATGCACTTGACGGACTTGCATTTATTTATTTATTTACTTATTTATTTTAAAGCTCCTGTATGTTTGTACAGCTTCAAGAGTCTTGCAGCCCCAGAAGCATTTCCCTGCTGCAGTCCAGATGGAGCCGGTGCTAAAAAAAAAAAAAAAAAACCCTTATGAGTCCTGATCTGGCTGAATGCAGAGCCAAGTGAGATGTCCTTGTTCCCTGTTTGTGTAACTGGGAATGCTGAAGAGGCCCTTGGAATAAGCAAAGCCAACTCTGGCCAGCTCTGAACTGGAGCAAACAGGGAGCAAAATGCCAGGGAACGTGAGCAGCAGCCTCAGTGCAGTTTGCCCATGCTTTTCCCAGTTACACTAATATGATTATGGAAATGTTCCGTTTCTTTGTGAGAAATGAGAAAGGATTAGTTTTCCATACTGTTTTTGGAGTTTTATAATGTTAACAACAAAGAGAGTTTCTCACCAGTCCCTGCCTCAATGTGGAGTGTTTTTAGTGAAACTGATGATAAAGTTTATTCAGTTCATAGGAAAGTAAGCTCTAGAAGAGTGCAAGGAATTAAATACGCAAGCCATGTGGTTTTTCTGTAAGCGTTCAAAGTAAGTTTGAAAGAGCACACATCCTCACTGATCAGTGGGTGTTATCCTAGCTCCCTTGGATGAGCTTTCATTTGCTGCACTAAGGATTCCTTATTTTCTAATTTATTCTGTTCTGAATTCCTCATAACTGAAATAACAGCAACATTTTCTTTCAAATGTGCTTCTGTAGTTTTCGTGCTTCATTGTAGTCACCTCCACCTTCTGACTGCAAGAGCACCCAGGGTGTTTAATTAGGAATGAGAGTGCATGAAACATCTGCATGAGAGAGTGGTTATGGCATTCAGTGAGACCAATTCAGTAAATTATGGAACCGTTATAGATTATAGACATTATAGCCGTGCAGTCTGGCTTTGGTGCAGGTGAACTTGTCTATAGAGAAAAAGTTAGTGAAAGTAGGGAAGTATTTGCTTTTTTTTTTTTTTTTTTTAATCATTGCTTGATCAAGCATTATCATTTTGCACCTGTGTAAAACGATTTAAATGATTAGGTTAATGCCTTGTTCCCAGTTTTTATACTATTAAAATAATGAACATATGGCTCAACTAATACATTTTTTAATTGAATAAAATAAAAGGACATGTTTATATTAGGTGGTAACACAACCAAGATTTAAAAAAAAAAATCATAAAGTACCCATAATTAGATAACAAATTAATGTTCAAAGCATCTGAAAACCCTTGTAGACAGGAGCACTTGGATATTCAGCCCATTAAAAATTCAGGCAAGAGTTTCCTGATTTTAGATGCTACTAGTGGTATCCTGCATAGGACATTTTGTGTATATATACATATATATAAAGATATACCCTACATACATAATATTTATTTGGGTCCCTTATGGGTATACAGCTTATATGCAGATTATCAAAAGTAGTTATATTACAGTATTACTAGATTGACCTTCATCTTGTTGAAGTTACTAGATAAGTTACTAGAAGTTACTAGATCTTGTTGAAGATACTAGAATATAGACTCGTGGGGCACAGATCAAGATCCACTTTGCTTTTTCATTCATTATTTGGAATCTTCTTGCCCATCTACATTATCTGCCCCAAATGTAAGATTCTGTGTTACTGATTCTTGAAATATTACTTACTTGTATATTTTTGTTCATATTGAGTCATTGTAGTAGAGAGTTGTCTTTGTCAGGTGGGACCTTCTTTTTAGTTCTGAATGTTACATTTCAAAGAAGTGTAATTTTACACTAATTCCATAATATGTATGCTTTGTGAATTGAACATTTATGTTGAACTGTATGAAGGTGTCAGGCACATGACTCCTTTGTTTTATGTATTAGTCCTCTCAAAAAATGACATAATTACTTCTTTCCTGAGAATATAATGCTTTTTTATCTGCTTTATTTTGTGAGGTTGCTCACCTAATAGTTTTTCTAGCTTTTTTAAAGACTTGCAGGGCTTTGGAGCCCTGTAAGGGGCCTTACACTAACTGAGACTGGGGAACAGCGGTAGCTGTTACACATAATTTTATAGGACAGAATCTTGAGAGCTGTAGTTGCTAAAATGGATACCATGACTCACAGAGGAATCTTTTAAAGAGTATTTATAAGAGAACTCAAATGGTGAATGTGCTGTTTTCTAGCACTTGTGCTGTTTTCCAGCACTCTGCAGTGCTGAGATCAAGAGCTTTGCTGCAGATAATGGTTTCAATAACACTTTTGTATTATGAGCAGTAATTTCATACAACTTGCCTCGGATTTTAAGCACATAGCTAGAATGAAGAATGAGACAAATTTCTCTCAGATTTTGCGAAGAAGGTTAATTTAACGTTTTGTCTGCCTAGCTTAAGGTTCAGGCTGACCTTTAGAAGCCAGTTGCTGAACATCTTTTCCTTTAGTTCAGCCTAACATGCCCCTAGAAGCACTGACGAGGATTTATCTTGTTTGAAATCATCAGATTCTCCTTATTATAACAGGCGTGCAGCTTTTTGTCTCTCATTTCAGTCCAATTTTGTGAGTTACTCATGCAATGAGTTACTCATGCAACAGGGATTTTTAATTAGAACCCAATTTAGATCCATATTGCTGCTCCATGCGTTCTGAAAACTTTGTGTGTAGGATACAGGCTCAAATCGTGTGCTTACCTAATGGGCTTTGAGTTGAATTATGTGCTGCCAGTACCTTTGAGCTCATCTTTTTATATCCTTTTTTTTTTTTCTGTAAAAGGGAAATTCTTTGTACTGAGGAAGGGTTTGATCCTTTGAAGTCTGCGTGGTTCTATGAGCCAATGTAGGCAAACCTTTTAGAAGGTGTGTTCATGACTGAACTTTTGCCTGAAGGCTCTTTTCTAGAAAAGCAAGTTTTCCTGCTGGTTGAGCAGTGATAAAACTTGCATACTCTATTCTGCTTTTTTATTGTCGCAGTTCTGTGCAAATGACATTTTCAGGTACCTTGGTGGTAAGACAGTATTGAGTGCTGCATATTTTGCTAATATTAGTATTTTTGTGAGTAGATTTCGGGGATTCTAGTTGTCCCTCAGGTCCCAATTTTACCCTATACAAGATCATGCATAATATCTAGGAACAGGAGAGATCAGGGATATTGGTGTCATTTGAAGGCCCTCCCTAATTTGAAGTATTTAGTCTTTGTAGGATTTTGGATTGATTTTTTCAGAGATGTTGATGGAGCATTAATCATAGTGGATCATTTTGTAGAACCACTTTCTCTTTGTGTGTCTTGCCTCTCAATGACGCCGTCTTGATTCTTTTCTTCATCCACTATAATATGCATCTTCTGGAGCCCTGTAGTGCTTAAAAGTAATATAAATATGATAATAAGTAATATAAAAAAGTAAAACATTGTATACGTAAACTCATTTACGTGGATCATTCTGCAAGATTATGATGAAAGTATGAATTTCAGTTCACATAAAAATTCTGCAGTACCCTACATTTGGGGTAGGCTGTTACATAAATTCCTCCGAAAGACTCTAAATTTGACTTCAGTAATTAAAGGAGTCAAGTCCTCTGTCCAATCCCTTTTTGCACTGGCGGTCTCTATTAAGGCAACCAGAACACATCCCCATCTCCTGCCCCTGACCCCCAGAGTGCCACATGGGCATTTTAAAAGATACTGCACCTACACTTTGAGGATTTCTTTTTTTTAACCTCTCTGAGGAAATCTTTAAGTGTCTTAACATCAGGTAGCCTAATTTGGAAGTCTTATCATATCTTCTCAAAACTGTTTTATATTTTTCTGTGAGTCTCAGTTTTTCTTTTTGCAAAGGTGGAATGAAGGAGTACAGGAACTGAAGACCTGAAGAAAAGGTGGCTTTTAGACATTGTGGGTTAACTAACTGTATCTGTTTCAGGAGATTAAGTGGTGCTACAAACCAAATAAAATAATGGTAAAATTTATGTATAACTTCTGTCTTGGTAGGTATTTCTGTAAATTTAATACTTTTCATTCTTGTGATTCCTGAGCCATAAAAGAAAAAAAAATCAAGACTACAATGGACTTCTGATGCTGACACGAAAAAGTACTTCATAATAAAGATACTTTTTTTTCTGTGTATGTTTGAGAGACATTAGTGGAATGCTGATTTACTGATTGACAATTGACTTGCTGCTTTTTTTGTTAGATATTGTTCATGAAAATCTGAAAATGGGATCGGATGGTGAAAGTGACCAAGCTTCTGGAACATCATCCGATGAAGTTCAGTCTCCCACAGGTGTTTGTCTCAGAAACCGGATACACAGGCGAATCTCTATGGAGGTAATTCACTTTTCACATAAGGAACAGTTAAATTGACAAGAGACTTGGGGATTGCTTTAATTGTTCCATATAACTGTTTGTCTTCCTCTCAATTAACTTTAAGCAGGCTGACATATATTTAGTGTGGAGAGCGTTATTATGCTATGGTTTAAACTTTTGTTTCCATTTGTCACACAGAAATCTGTTGATTCTCTTTAATTGTTTTGAGTTGTTCCATTTTGAAAAACAAAGTTCTGAAACTACAGTTTTTAAGAAAAATTGGAAGTATAGCAGTATAGTTTGTAATGTATGTATGGTAGAATTCTGCAAGAATTGTCACGGGCATTGTTGAATTTAGTCAAGAGTGTCTTTGCTTCACATTCTGTGCCACTTAAGGTATTCAACTTGGGTAGTATTTGGATATTTTCACGTAGAACTGCTTCTAATCTTTGTAAAACAAATGCTACAGAAGAGATGGTACTGCCTGCTTCAGCCTTTCTCTCTCTTCCTGTTTTTTAATGAACGGAACCTTACAGGATGGTAAACAAAAGGAGGAAAAGTACCTTTTGAATAACTGTGCACATAATTTCCTTTATTTATGAGTCTCATTACGAATACCAACCACCCTTGTGCTTGCTTTGTTGTCATTTCCCTTGGCAAAAAAAACCAGAACACTTCCCTGCTTCTAGAGTGTGCAAAAGTTATAATTATGTTGGAGCCCTTACAAAATTCTACGTGCTACTCGAGTAGTATGTAGTTGTCGCATTATAACACGTACAACATACACACTTTGTAAGACTTCGAAATCTTCATTCAAAGTATGATATCAAATAGAGGATTTGAGAAGCAAATCTGGATAAGTTACAGTAGACTGTGCATGCCAATTTTTTTTTTTTTTTAATCTGTAAGGAGTTCAGTTATGCTTGTAATTCCAAAATTCCAAGCATGAAATGCTGGTAGGATTCCAAGAATGCAGGAATTAATTGTATTAATTATTTATATCTTTTCTAGCACCTGTGCTTTTTGTCTTCAAGCTGTCTGCGTTTGTGTGCTAACCTCAGGTTTGAACTAAAGCCTATTAAAGTTGGACTGTTGGCTTGGGTCTCTCTGACATTTTTGTAGAATGCTTAAATTAAAAAATGAACAAACAAGATTGTACATCAGAATGTGTGCTAGAGAAACCTGAAATCTTCTGAATTGTTTTCCTGATGGGTTTCCTTTTACTCATTACCCATTTTCTCTGCCTTGAAACATGCATTTAGAACAGGAAAGAAATAAGGAAGTTAATGGTAGATAATGAAATTAGCAAACTGAAATGAAAATGTGTCAAGTCTTCCGGAGGGGGCTAAGAGCCGGGGTTACAATCTTTTTAGATTAGGTTTTTAGCTCATGAAACTCTGACAGGAGCTATAAAATAATTTTTAAAAAATAGGATAGATATCAAATAAAAACAACTTTTCAGTGGGCTGCTTACATTGTAAAACAGTTTTAAAATTGCTGCTTCAGAGACAATGAAAATTCTTTTATGTAAATTGTGTTTGCCCAGTGTTAATTTCTTCATTTTTCTCCAAATTTGAAATGTTGGTTTCTGGGATTCAAAATTAACATTATTTCTTTGTTGCTTGGCTCAGCTGACGAGCGCGGCAGCCCTTTGGCAGCTATTCTTGTACATGCTGTGAGAACTGTAGTTTTTCTCCAAGATTGCTTCAGTATTGGCATGATGACTTCCAAAATAAGGTTTTAAGCTAACATTTGAAAACACTCTCACTTCTGAATTTTAGAACGGTATCTTCGATAAATATTTTTAGTTGACAGAAGTTTCACTATGTAAAAGTGGTTTGTGGGATTTTCATGCGTTTTTGTTTGGTTGGTTGGTTGAGGGTTTTTTTGTGTGTTTTGTTTAACCTATTGGTTCATGTCAGAGGAAAAACTATCTTTGTAGCTTTGGTTAAAATATTTTCCAAATCGTAATCTTTCCAGTGTAGTGTTCAATGTAGCTGGTTTCCAGAGAGAAGAGTTGGAGGGATTACACCGTCTCCCTGTCTTCTTCCTTCCAGTCTTCTTGTGTGTCTTTCTCAGCCATGTTGGAAACCCTACATATGAATTTCCTCTTGATTTCTGAGGAAAAACACCCTCTGAATCAGGAGAAACTCCTACTGCATCCATTGCTAGAAAAGCTGCAGCCTTTGTTGCGCGCCGCAGCAGCCGTGCGCGAGCTCGGTCTCGAGGAGGACGTCCGTGCAGAGCAGCGCCCGCGCGCTGGTCCTGCCCTTGGTGCTCGGGCACTGCTGTGTCCGTGGCCGTCGAGGGCCGTGAATGCGGGTTTTGTTGGTTGTGCTCGTCTGGCTCGAGTGCTTTGTGCCTTGCCCCGGCTGGTTCAGGAATTGGATATGTAAAGGGAAGGAAAAATAGTCTTTATGTAGAACCGAGCTGTTAGCACTTGGGAGTATGGGGATTTGTCATTTCTAGGCATCACTGTGTAGTCTAAAGACATATTCCTTATTAGTTCATTTAGGATGCTGTATGCTGTATATACCGTATACTGTCTGTATAGTTTTAGCAGTCCGTTAGTATGTGCCTGATGATTATTTGATGCAGTCTGCTGATTTTTGCTAATCAGTCATACTTCAAATCCATTGCAAGGGATACTTGATTAAAATTCTATGAAAAGTCAGATAAACTTAATAAGTTTATGTACATTACATACATATATATATATATATTAAGATAACTAATCAGGTAAAGCTAAGAACTTGGAATATCCCTTTTTCCTTTTAGACTTTTGGATATAACAGTGATTTTTGTGCTTCACTTGAACTTCCTTTAGGAGTCTGTGGACTATTTTTATGCAAATTAGCCATGCATCCCCCCCTAAAATACAGAAATTACATACCTTCTAAAAACATGTATGCCATAAACTTAAGAGCTAATTGTTGATACTGAATATTCCAGGGATGTTTTATATTTCAGAATACACATTTTGACCCAAAATGTATATCAGCAAATTTATTTTACATAAAATTGTTAGATATTTGAATGATGTGTAGTTTAGCAAGCATAGCCCTGAGAGGGCCACAAGGCCGACTGTGACAGTTTTTCCTTTGATCAGCACACGAAGAAACGATGACTGCGATGTTTCAAAGTCCAGTATCACAAGTCCTTATCCCTTCCTTTATGCTGTTGTGGTTCTTGATCCTTAGTGTCAGTGTGCACTGCAGTGTATCGTACAATAAAGCTGTTTTCTTTAAATCAGAGCAGGCAGCTTTTCTTATCCAGAGCACTTGAAATATTTTGTTAAGAAATAAACCTCAGTCTTTCCAAAATTTTCCCACACAGACATTATGAAAAGTAGAGAAATGGAAGATGCACAACACAGACACGTCTAGAAGCTACATTTTTCCCCTTTCCTACTAGTGGAGTCTTCTTAGCGATGGAAAGTTAAAATTTCATAATCCTAAATTGACCCACTTTAGACAGGAAATAGTCATACTTGCGTGTAGCCTAAATTTGACACATTTTTTAGATAAACAGTTTCACTGCATCGAGAATCCTGATCTGTAGTGCAGAATCATCTGGGATGAATATTTTCCAGCCATGGCAGTGGCTGTGGAGATGGCAGCTTTCAATGGGTTATCGCCACAAATGACATGAAATTTAGGCCAGCATGCTTGGTATAAACAGGGAGGTGATCTTCTTTTGCTTCTGCATTCGACAACATTGCAGTTTCGGAGTTAGATTCTTTCCAAATTACCAATCTCAGTTGGTATATGATTGGAAAAGAAAAGAACATACTAGAATGGCATGATACTGTACAGAAAAAAAGTAATTTTGCCTGTAATTCACAGGCTATGGATGGTCTATAAAGCACTATTTTTTTCTTTTTTCTAAATTCATGTTATATCTGTTTTCATTCAGCAGCTATATAGACAGTAGCTGCAAACATCTATTATGCGAGGAACTTGGCTTCCAACAGCAGTTCTTGTTTAATTAAAAATCTTTGTAGCATATTAATACTAATGATCATTCAGTGAATCAGTAAAATTGTTTATCAAAACCTATTTATGTAATCTTTCAAGTGCAAGAAAAAATATAGCCTAAGCGTAAATATGTATGTGTGTGTATATGTGTATTTTAAGTGTAGATGCTTTCATCGTATAATGAGAAACACTTCTCCAGATCATGGAGTTATTTACAGCTTAAAGCATTTTCACTCTGATTTGCTGAAAAGAAGACCTGGACAGTAATATACTAATATAAATATGTTGGAGGTAATAAGTGCTCATTGGAGGCCTCATAGCCATGCGCTGGATACTGGCTGCTTCATTAGGAACTGTGGTGGATTCAAAACATCTGCCTTCCCTCCCCAGAAGTCAGAGGTCTGTAAGCCACCTTCGTACGTGAACTGGCCTTGGGCCAGAGCTTGCTGTTCACCAGCCTGTTTCCCAGATATTTCATCCTGAGGAATGGTTGTTGCATTAGCTACAGGAGCTTGTTCCAGGTCAGGCCTCTTCCTTGTGGGTACAGTTCTCCTCTGAGATGGTTAGCTGCAGGTTTGGCCGTTGTGTTTTCTCTCTCTCGAGCTTAAAAGCAATACAAAGAGGTCATTTCAAGCATGTGTCCTACTGGGTACCTTCAGAAAACAATATACTGTAGTTTGGGAATGTGTTTTTTGGCGAGTTGAGCACATTTAGCAGAGTTGCCCAAATTTCAGCAATCTTGGCTGGCACGGATCAAATGACTTGGTTTGCGTCGCGACGCGTTGTGCCTGCGGGAAGTACTGTTACTGTTGCTGCTACAAGAAAAATTATTTCAGACTAGATAGCAAGCAGACTTCCGAACTTGCCTATTACTAGATTTGGGGGGAATAAGGATAATTTAGTGATGCTTTTTATGTCCTTTTATTAGGGACATCTGTAAGCATCATGCCAAAGGTTCTTACATTTCCGTTGCAGCGTCCTACTTTCTTTCTACGAAGTCTCTTGCTTTCCCTTATTTCTCTTAAAAATAAATATGTTTTTGAT